GCTACTGAGTGTAAGTAGTGAATTGAGTGAATATGTATGAATGCAGTACTAATCGAGCAGGCTTTCTGGAGGTGTCAAGTTTCTTGACTGTTGCTGAAGCTGCACTCATCCAGGCAAATGGGGAACATTCTATCGTCCACCTTACTTATACCCTGTAAATGGTGGATGCGCTTTGGCGGGGGTGAGGAGGTGAGTTACTTACTGCAGGATTCCTAGCCTCTGATCTGCTTTTATAGCCACAGTTATTTATATGACTAGTCCAATTCAATTTCTGGTCAATGGTAACCCTCGGAATGTTTATAGTGGGGGGATTCAGCTATGGTAATGCCACTGAATGCTAAGGGATGGTTAGATTCTCTAATGTTGGATATTGTCGTTACCTGGTATGTGTCATGTAATTTTACTTAGAATTTGCCAGCCAAACCTGGATATTGTCCATGTCTTACTGCATTTGAACACGGACTGCTTCAGTATCTGAAATTGTGAAAATTGCTGCCCACTGTACGATCGTCAGTAAATGTCCCCCTTCTGAGCTAATGATGGAGACAAGACCTTTGATAAAGCAATTGAGGATGATTAGGCTTAGTACACTACTGTAAGGAGCTAAGTGTTCTTCTAGCATGGTGGTAGTGTCCCTACATCTGAGCCAGGAGTTCTGGGTTCAAGTTCCACCTTCTTCAGAGATGTGCACTAACATTTAGTTAGAAGATGTTTACTCTGAGGAATTCCTGTAGAGAGGTCCTGGAGTTGAGATGACTGACCTCGAACAACCATCACACTTTTTAGCCTCACCAATAAAATTTACCTATAATCCCTACAATCTCTTAATATGAATAGCTCTAGAAATCTTTTGACTCTACCTTGCACTTAATGATTTAGCATCCACAGTTCTCCAGGGAAGAGATTTCTAAAGATTAGAAACTACCTCTTTCACTCCTAGTGAGTTCTAGCTCATTACCAGCCAGGGGAAACGTTCTTCCTGCATCTACACTGTTTATCCCTTCTAAGGATTTTAAGTTTCAATTAGATTAACTCTCATTCTTCTAAACTGAACATAGATCTAGACTCCTCATAGGACAATGTCATCTTCCCAGGAATTAGTCTGATGAGCCTACAGTGCAGTCTCTGAATAAAGATGACTACAGAGGTATGAGAGAGGAGCTGGGCAGAATTGACTGGAAGAGGACCCTAGCAGGAAAGACAGTGGAACAGCAGTGGCAGGAGTTTCTGGGAGTAATTCAGGAGACGCAGCAAAAATTCATCCCTAGGAAAAAGAAGCATGGTACAAGGAGGATGAGGCAACCATGGCTGACTAAGGAAGTCAGGGATAGCATAAAAGCAAAAGAGAAAGCATATAATATGACGAAGGACGGTGGGAAACCAGAGGACTGGGAAGCTTACAAAGACCAACAGAGGGCAACAAAAAAAGAAATCAGGAGGGAGAAGATTAAATATGAGGGTAAGCTAGCCTGTAATATAAATTAAGACTGTAAGAGTTTCTTTAGATATATAAAGGGCAGAAGAGAGGCAAAAGTGGACATTGGACCACTGGAGAATGACGGTGGAGAGATAGTAGTAGGGAACAAGGAAATGGCTGAGGAACTGAATAATTACTTCACGTCAGTCTTCATGGTGGAAGACACGAGTAATCTCCCAAAAATTCAAGAGAGTCAGGAGGCAGAGCTGAGTATAGTGGCCATCACCAAGGAAAAGGTGCTAGTAAAACTGATTGGCCTGAAGGTGGATAAATAACCTGGACCAGATGGACTACACCCCAGAGTTCTAAAGGAGATAGCTGAAGAGATAGTGGAAGCGTTAGTGGTGATCTTTCAGGAATCGCTCGAGTCAGGGAGGGTCCCAGAGGACTGGAAAATTACTAACGTGACACCCCTGTTTAAAAAGGGAGTAAGGCAAAGGATGGAAAATTACAGGCCAATTAGCCTAACCTCGGTCGTGGGTAAGATTTTGGAGTCCATTGTGAATATTTGGAAGTGAATGGTAAAATAGGGCAAAGTCAGCATGGTTTCATCAAGGGGAGGTCATGCCTGACAAATCTGCTAGAATTCTTTGAGGAAGTAACGAGCAGGGTAGACCAAGGAGAGCCGATGGATGTTACCTACCTGGACTTCAAGAAGGCCTTTGACAAGGTGCTGCACAGTAGGCTCCTGAGTAAGATAAGGGCCCAGGGTGTTAGAGGCAAGGTGCTAGCACGGATAGAAGATTGGCTGGCTGGCAGAAAGCAGACAGTGGGGATAAAAGGGTCTTTCTCAGGATGGCAGCCGATGACAAGTGGTGTTCCGCAAGGGTCAGTGTTGGGACCACAACTTTTCACTTCATACATTAATGATCTAGATGAAGGAACTGTGGGCATTCTGGCTACGTTTGCAGACAATACAAAGATAGGTGGAGGGACAGGTAGTATTGAGAAGGTGGGGAGGCTGCAGAAGATTTGGACAGGTTAGGAGAATGGGCAAAGAAGTGACAGATGGAGTACAGTGTGGGAAAGTGTGAGGTAATGCACTTTGGTAAGAAGAATAAAAGCATGGACTAGTTTCTAAATGGGGAGAAAATTCAGAAGTCTGAAGTGCAAAGAGACTTGGGAGTTCTAGCCCAGGATTCTCTCAAGGTAAACTTGCAGGTTGAGTCAGCAGTCAGGAAGGCAAATGCAATGTTGGCATTTATTTTGAGAGGACTTGAAAATAGAAGCAGGGATGTACTCCTGAGCCTTTATAAGGCTGTGGTCGGGCCACATTTGGAGAATTGTGTGCAGTTTTGGGCTCCATATCTCAGGAAGGATGTACTGGCCCTGGAACGGGTTCAGAGGAGGTTCACGAAAATGGTCCCAGGAATGGAAAGCTTAACATATGAGGAACGTTTGAGGATTCTGGGACTAAACTTATTGGAGTTTAGAAGGATGAGGAGGGTCTAATTGAAACTTACAGAATACTAAATGGCCTGGACAGAGTGGATGTTGGGAAGATGATTCCATTGGTAGGAGAGACTAGGACCCGAGGGCACAGCCTTAGAGTAAAGGGAAGACCTTTTTGAACGGAGATAAGGAGCAACTTCTTCAGCCAGAGAGTGGCGAATCTATGGAATTCACTGCCACAGAAGGCTGTCCAGGCCAGGTCATTGAGTACGTTTAAGACTGAGATAGATAGGTTCTTGATTATCGAGGGGATCAAGTGGTACAGGGAGAAAGCGGGAGAATGGGGTTGAGAAACTAATCAGCCATGATTGAATGGCGGAGCAGACTCGATGGGCCGAATGGCCTAATTTCTGCTCCTATGTCTTATGGTCTTATGGTCTCTTCATGGAAAATATATCCTTAGATAATGAATCAAGACAATGCACCAGTTCTGAGGAAGGGTCACCGGACCCGAAACGTTAACTCTGTTTTCTCCTTCACAGATGCTGCCAGACCTGCTGAGCTTTTCCAGCAACTTTGTTTTTGTTCTTGATTTACAGCATGTGCAGTTCTTTTGGTTTTTATGATTTAACCAAGTTATGCATTGAAAACAAGACATACTCAAATCCTCTTGTGCAAAAGCCAGCATATGAACACATAAATTAGGAGCGGGACTGGGCCACTGTGGCTGATCTATTTATTCCACTTTATTCTTATTTCTACTTACTCCCTTTTGGTTGTCAAGAATCAAAAGATTATCACAATTGCTAAAAAAAAGTTAAATCCCATTCTAGTAAGAAGCAAATTGAGAGTGATTGCGCAGGACATCAAGTCAGAGTCTGACCAAGTATGGCATCAAAGAACCCTAGCAAATCTAGTGTCAATGCAAATTCAGGGAAAATGCTCTTTGCTGGTTGGATTCATACCAGCGCAAAGGAGGATGGCTGTAGTTGTTGAAGGTCAATTATCACAGCCCCAGGACATCAGTGCACAAGCTCCTTAGGGTAGTGTCTTTGGACCAACTATCTTCAGCTGGTTCATCATTGACTTTTCCTCCACCGTAAGTTCAGGATATTCATTGATGATTGCACAATGTTCAGCACTATTTACACTATTTCAGAATCTGAAGTGTTGTGTGTCCAAATGCAGGAGACCTGGATAACATCCAGATGTGAGTTGATAAGTGTCAAGTAATAGTTATGCCACACAAATGCCAAGCAATGACCATCTCCACCAAGAGATAATCTAACCATCTAACCTCTTGACATTCAATGGCATTACCATCATTGAATTCCCTGCTATCAAAATCCTGGGGATTACTGTTGATCAGGAACTGAACTGGATGACCCACATAAATACTGCATCTGCAATAGCAGTTTAGAGACTAGGAATTCTGTGGCAAGTAATTCACCACCTGACTACCCAAAACCTGTCCACCATCTACAAAGCACAAATCAGGATCGTGTTGGAATATTCTCAACTGGCTTAGATGAGTGCAGCTCCAATAACACTTGAGAAACTTAACACCATGCAAGACAAAGCAGCCCACTTAACTGACATCACCTTCCCCACTTTTATGATTCATACCCTTCACCACTGATGCACAGTGGCAGCAGTGTGCACCATCTATAAAATGCAAAGCAACAACTCACCAAAACTCCTTCAACAGTGTCTTCTAAACTAGTGACCTCTAACAGCTCTTTAGGTCAAAATCATTAGATGTATGGAAACTCACCATTCTCAAGTATCCCTCCAAGCCACACATAATTCTGACTTGAAACTATGTCACCAGTCCTTCATAGTTGCTAGATCAAAATCCTGAATTTCCCTTCCAAACAGCACTGGATGGTCGTAAACCCCAAGGATTGCAGCAGTTTAAGAAGGCTGCTTTCCAGGGCAACTAGGGATGAGCAGTAAATACTGGCCTAGCCAGCAATGCCCATGTCCATAAATAAATAAAATAAAATCTAATAATTGCCAGCTCTTTAGTAATTAAATTCCCCCAACCAATGCTTTGCATGGAAATGAGAGAATTTGTTAAAAGTATAGAATTTGTGTATTAGTAATCTGTTAATTTTTACTTTTCCATCAGATTCTGCTGTATGTATTGATTATCTACCACCGGTTTTACATCAAAATGAAGTTTCATGGAGTGAAGAGAACTGGGTATGATCTATTCTATTTGTAAGATGCTTTTCTTTGATCCAATTGCTCAAAAGAGTTTAGTTCATTTCTGTGTAATGAGTTAGAACTGAGAAATTATGGAAGTGTTCAGCTTTTGTGGGTTATTGAAAAAGACACTGAATGACCATACTTTAATTTCTCTAACATGGGAAGTTTTGAGCTAATTGATTGTCACCACATTTATGTTGCTACTGATTTCCTCAAATACACCTTCTCTCCCAACATTTGATGCTGTAGTCCCCAGTGATATTATTGGTGACCATCTCTCACCATGGTCATTCCCTCTGGTACAGCTCTCATTTCCAGTCCAACAAGACCAAAATGTGCAGTCTTACAAGGATATAGGAGATGTTGATTTAGTCATTTGCATCACATGAGGCTAGACAATATAAAGTAGTATTGCAAGCATGGATGAAGAACAAAAAGGAAGGTCTATGATCAGGTAGATGGCAGAAAAGATTAAATAACTCAAGGTTGTGTGGTGATAAGTTTTAAAAAATAGTGCTGTCCAAAATTTGTGTTTCTTTACCAATAACTATGAAACATGTTAATGTTTCATCTCTCCTGTCCTCCATCCTATCTTACACTTGCTTTTTTGTTCTCTCCCTGTCTTATAATTTTCTCTAAAGTTTCTTAGCCCCAGCATAGACTCAGTCTTGCACCAGCATCTCCTCTGTGTTATTTCATGCCTCTTCTGCACCCTCCTTGTTTATGAAATCCACCAAATGGCTTGCCTGATGCTATTCCCACCAATCTAAATTTCCTATCCCAATTTCATTGTTAACTTCAGAGATAGTAGGAACTGCAGATGCTGGAGAATCTGAGATAACCAGGCGTACAGCTGGATGAACACAGCAGGCCAAGCAGCATCAGAGGAGCAGGAAAGCTGACGTTTCGGGCCTGGACCCTTCTTCATTTT